ATCTCGGAAAGCACGAGGTAAGTTGAAGAGAGCGAAACCATTTTCTGTTGTTTACGGCAACGCAGCATTGCTGAAAAACGCAGATGTTGCATTGAACGAGCATGGCGAAACAATCTTGGTCGACCTAGCGCACACCGAAACGCTCCTCCTCTTCAGTTTATGTTCTGGCTACGATTTTGTCTTTGGTCACGGCGAGAATCCGGCTGGAGCCATATGCGCATGCGTGCTCGTTTTGAACCTTTTGCATAATAATAAATAACACCACCAGCCATTTGCAAGATCACGTGCAAGTAATGCACCAATTACAGGCGCGGATGGCAGAGAAAAGAGGAGTAATCGAGAGAGTGAGGAGGACGGCTCGAGAACAATGAGTGACGCTACCTTGTTTCATCTAGGGATTTTCACCTGGATGCCAGAGCGGCGCCCCCTGGCATCCTCACATGTCATTCCGAAACCGAAACCCAGAACACAACACACTATCCTCCTCTCAGCCCTTTCCCATTCGCGTTGTGAAAATGGAGCCACTGCGCCACTTGATCCATCCTTGTCTATTAAGGTGCCGTCAAAGACACCAACACCACTAAAGCACAACCTCCAATGTAAACGTCAGTTTGCTCAATCTCATGGGCGAGAAAGGCAGCTAAGTGGGCTGAGCTGTGTAATACGCTGAATAGGGAAAAGATCGCTCTGTATGGTGTGGTGGAAACTCACCTACTAGAGTTAGAGGAGTCACCAATTGACCCCGAATGGCAGTGGGCGGGCTGAAATCGTACAGGTGATTGCCGCAATGGAGGCGGTGCTGGCATGCTGTGGCGCCGCAATGTAGCCTGGATGCCAATGAAGGGGCCTTGTGCTGAGCACAGTTGGGTTTCTGGGACTATTCTTGGTGAGTCAGTTCTTTTTGGTGTGGTGTATCTAACGGTAGCAAGTGGACCACGTGACGGCAACTACTAAGTCCTATAGTGTATCGTCGAGGATGTGAAACAGTGGGGTGCAGACCGCGAGGTGCTGTTGATGGAAGACTTTAACGGACACATCCCGGTCACTGACGGGAATGGGAAGCTGTAGTGGCAATGTGAGGAACAGCTCTCCTTGGAAATAGTTAACCTTCGCACTGACTGTGAGGGATGCTTGACATAGTGCGCTCGTAGCAGCCGCTCTGCCATAGACTATATGCTGTGGTGACTGCAAAACTGGCGGCTCGCATAGCACAACTGCATATTGATGAAGAGCATTGGATTGGATAAAGTTTTATTTGGTCCTCCAAAACACAGATCACTGTGTTGCGGGCAGCTCCCACGTGGGGACTAAAATGCCGAGCTCCTCAACCGCCTCGTGGGCTTGGTGGACAGCCCAGAGCTGATCTGCCTAGGACGAGCTGTGGATTGCCGCCTCCCATCTGGCACAGGTGATGTTCGATAAATGAGTGAATTTGGTGCACTGCCAGAGCATGTATTCTAATGAAGCTATTTCCCCCACAATGTGGACAAAGTTTACTTGGGTATAGGTCAGGGTACATGATGTGTAACATTTTCAAAGTATGGTACATGCGCGTTTGCAAGAGCCTTAATGTAAGTGCTTAAAGCCGAGTTAGATTTTTGCGAGGTGGAGGGAAAATCCTTCTAGACAGGTAGAAATGTTTAGTGAGCGCGTTATATGTTGTAAGAATTTCCCGGTTATCCCCTTCACCGGTAGAACGCATCCCCGGGGAGGCGCGGTTGTAGAGGTCTTGCGCCGCCTCGTGTGCTGCTTCATTGAGATTGGGAGGGAAATCGTTTATTTGTCCAAGGTGAGCTGGGAACCAACTCAGAAGATGATGCGTTATGTTCTTGCCTTGCAGTATTCTGAGCGTTTGTTCAGAGACCGTCCCCTTGGCGAACGCCCGTAGTGCTGCCATGGAATCACTGTAGACGACCTTAATGTTATCCATCTTGAGTGCTAAGGCGATGACCACCTGTTCCGCAATGATTGGGTCTTTCATCCTGACCATCGCTGAGTTGATGACATGGCCAGCCCCATCGACCACCACTGCCACAAACGCTTTCCCATTGGCGTAGGAAGCCGCGTCAACAAATACGACCACTAGCTCGTTCCTCGTTTCAGACTTCACGAAGTATAGTCCTGGCCCTCGCTACTCTTCTTCCGACGTTGTGTTCTGGATGCATGTTTCTTGGTATAGGAGATGCCGTGATATCCCCCCTGATGTTGTCGTGGATATCATTGTAATTGCGTCTGATTGCCATTGGGTGTTGGCCCAGCTTCTGCAGGATCATTCTCCCCGACCTTGTTGTAGATAAATTTGCAAACTGTGCTCTCTCTTGGGCTTCCGTTATTTCTTCGAGGGTGTTGTGAATGCCAAGCTCAAGCAAACGCTCGGTGCTGGTATGTATGGGTAGGCCCAGGACCTTCTTGATAACTTTCCTGAGGAGCACATTCAGTGTTTCGGACTCTGCTCTTGACCAGTTGTGCATTGCTGCCTCGTACGTGAAGTGGCTTAGAACAAACGCATGCATCAACCTGATGAGGTTGTCTTCCTTGATCCCATTTCTTTTGTTGGCCACTCTGCGTATGAGGTGCACCGCACTGTCTGTTTTTCGAATTAATTTGGTTATAGATTTGCTGTTGGTGCCAATAGACTCTATCAGCATGCCCAGGACTTTGATGGAGTCGACCCTCTGGATGGCATCCCCTTGAATTGTACGGAGGTGGATGTCTCTTTGGTTTAGCGGCTTCCACCCCCTGGGCTTCGGTCCCCGGCGTGCAGTCCGATACAGTAAAAGTTCTGACTTACTCGAGGAGCACTTGAGCCCGGAAGGACGAAGGTAATCTTCTATGGTGTCAATCGCCTCTTGCAGAGCGCTCTCAATCTGCCCCTCGCTTCCACCTGTGCACCAGATGGTAATGTCATCTGCGTAGATGCTGTGCTTCAATCCTTCAATGATCGATAATTTCTTTGAGAGTCCAATCATGGCAATGTTGAACAGCATTGGTGAAATCACTGCCCCTTGCGGCGTGCCCCTTGCTTCTAGTGTTCGATTGCTTGATGAAGAGGGTCAGTTCAGCATTGGAAGTGACCATAATCGCATACGGCTGTCGTTCTCTAAGGGCGGCTTTCAGACAGGCTGCATGTCACCTCCACCCAGGCGTACGCACGCACTTGCTGAGCAAGTCCATCGAGAGGGTCGCTGTGGATTTTGAAAGTAGTCCTCAACGGTGGAAATCCCGCTTGTATATAGTGAGTTCATGCGCGCATAGGACGCTGTAATGCGTACCCAGATGGTCCATGAGAGCCAGCCCTGGGGCACACATCACGGAACCCACATGGTGAGACAAAAAGTGGAGGTAGCGCGGAAGGAGCGCCGCCAAGCGAATCGGGAACATCGGAGATCTGTCAGAGGCCTCGACACTGGCGTACGGGCAGAGAAGTGGGCTAGCTGTGTATCTGGACCATAAACACAAGATACACCCTGATCCCGTCCAACAAACAGGAAGGAAGATCTGCAGCACACAAATTTTGGACATACGTCAGGTCCTTGGACAGAGCCGCCCCCCTGCCACCTCCTCTCATAGATGCGGCAACGGGGCAAACGGTCGACGAGCCCTGCGAATACATTCGCCCCCCCCCCCCCCCCCAATCGAAGAACATGTACCACACTGGGCCTTCTCCAGGTTGACAGTTGAACGGGCATTGAAATGGGTTAGGGCTCGAATGGCCACTGGTCTGGACGGCATGCGAGCGCGTGTACTAAAGTGCTCGGGAGAGCACTCGAGGGAACAGCTCGCAGAGATCCTCACGGCCATCATCAAAGGCAAGCCCATGCCCAAACAATGACATGAAGGTGTAGTGATTTCTTATTACCAAAAGGGGTGGTGATGCGAGAAACATAGATGACCACAGACCAATAATGGTCACCAGCGTTATGCATCGCTTGTTCGCGGGGGTGATCAAAGCATGGATGAGTGGCTGGGCGGAGAACAATGGACTACTGACCGAGCTTCAGAATGGCTTCAGGCCAGGCAGATGGCTGGATGACAATCTGTTCGTCATCACGCAGTGTGCAGAAATAGTTCGCAGGGAGGGGAGGACGCTATTGTGCTGCTTCGCCGATGTTGAAAAAACGTGCGATAACGTGCCGCATGGTCCTCTCTTTGCATGCTTATCTGACCTTGGACTACCACAGCTGCTAACAGCGACAATGTAAAGAGTGTGCAGTTGGGTGCCATAATTACTGGCCCAATTCGTGTTAATAAGGGTCTGAGGCAGGGCTACCCAAAGTCACTATTGCTGTACATTCTATACGCATCCAGAGTCGAGCGGGCCTTGTTGAATTTGAACATCGGATTCAGCTGACATGCGTTTTAGCACAACTATTGCCGGATAGAAATTCCGCCTGCCTGGTTTGGCATTTGCAGACGATCTTCTGCATTGCAGTCCCGAAAAGGCAGCTTACTGAGCGGTGGCCAACTATACGGCGGACTTATGACCTAGACCACTATGTGCGCGTCGCGTCTTATGTCTGTCGTTTAAATGTGTGGATCCTTTTTTTTTCTTTCTTTTTGAGGCCAAGACATTGAGTGTGTTCCCCTGTTGCAAAGGGGCCAGCCGCCATCACATCATCATCATCAGCTCAAAAAGAAAGCATTCACGAAACGTTCGCCAATTATCTTCCAGTAATCTCATTTGTTGTTTTCTGCCGTTAGTGTTCAAAGCTCTGAATTTCAGCTAATCAAGCAAAAAAGACGCAGTAACGAGCTTTTTGAACTTTTCGTTTCGTTTTCCACGTCCCCGACGTAACGTGGCCGTGAGTAGCTGCCGATGATTTTACCCAGCGAGCGCTAACTACGCCGCCGCGGCCGGTCGAGGTGTTTGTGTCGAAATTGCCTTGGCGCACACCTCTAGGTGGTAGTGGTTAGAAGAGGAAGAAGGCGCCCAATTTCTGCAGTCCGGCGGCGGTATCCTTCTCTCTGGCCAGCGGGGAGAGGCAAGACCGGATCAGTGGACCGGATTTGCCGCCCTCCCACATGAAAACTTTTGTGGCCTCTCATTGGCCAAAACGGCAACGGCCACGCAGTGCGCCGTTCGCCGAGGCTGGACCCGGCGTCTGGCGGTCTGGTTCTGCGTGTCTGTGCGTCGTCCGAGTGTGCGTGTGTGTGTGTGAGCATTCCCTATGAAGACGCTCTGTTTCGGATTTCTCGCCATGGACAAGAACAGTCCTCTCGAACAGGTCAGTGTGTCTTCGGCTCGGCTCCCGCAGTGTCCTCACACATCGCGAGCTTCTTTTGTTCCCGCATGCTTGCAGTGTCTTGCCGCATGGGTGTCTGCTAGCTCACGTTCACTGGCAGGTGTTTTCATGCCGGGTGATTTGAATTCTCAGAAACGTTGAAAGCAAGACAGCATCGGCAACCAAATGATAACAATGTCTTGTGTAATGAACAATTTTGTCGTCCGTTTGCCATCAAAAGCTGCCCGATGTCGGCACAAGTTGAGAAGTGCACGCCTGCATGAGCGATGCAGGGTGCTGTGTCTTGGAATAGAATATTTCAGGTCCCAGAAATAGGAAATTTCCTGATTTTACAAAATCACTCAAATGTGGCTCACGCCACCTCTCGGTGCCCCAGTAAAGTGGAGAGGAATGCGGCTTGATGTGCGCCCGTTCGATTAGTTGTGAGAGCGCCAAGTTCCGCGAGCTTTAAATACGAGCTTTTGCATTTGCCCACTGCAACAGTCGCCCCGCCGCGGTGGTGTAGTGGCTAAGGTACTCGGCTGCTAACCGCATATCGCGGGATCGAATCCCGGCTGCGGCAGCTGAATTTCCGATTCAGGCTGAAATGTTGTAGGCCCATGTGCTCAGATTTGGGTGCACGTTAAAGAGCCCCAGGTGGTCGAAATTTCCGGAGCCCTCCACTACGGCGTCTCTCACAATCATATGGTGGTTTTGGGACGTTAAACCACACATATAAATCAATCAATCACTGCAACAGTGGAGTTCATTACACTCATTGTTAAAATTGAATTGGGTGCCCTGAAGGAACCTGGTTTCTGACACCGTCACATGGTGCACTGGTGATGCTGATGAAGGCCCAGCTTGAAGCCTTGATTATACTTTTCACTCCCGGAGCCAGTGTCAGTCAATCGCGCATCATATGATGGATGGATTGATGTGGCTGTACCCTTTAGATCGGGCGGCGGCTAACGCCACCTAGCCGTAATACTTACTGAACCAACAACTAAATTTATCTTTTTTTCTTTAAAAAGCGAAGTTGAGGACTGGTACTTTGAAGTGAAGGATTTAATTTTCACTCGTGCATTGACTTGAGCCACCGATGAGATAACCTCCTTGTAGTTAATTCTACCCGCTTAAAGTATATTTTCTCTCCCTGTCCCTAAACCCCAGTCCTTTGAAAAACTCTGCGCCCTTCATCCTGAACTATAGCCTGAAGTCCTTTCCAGAACATTATCAAGTGTTCTTCAGTTTCCTCCTTCTCTCCAGATGCACTGCATACCGTGTCTACTCCTTCGTATTTGGCACGATATGTATTGGTTCGTAATACTCCCGTCCTGGCCTCAAACAGCAGAGAACTACCCCGAGTATTATCATGGATTCTTTCCTTGGCAATTTCCTGCCTAAACGTTCGATACATCTCTAGTGCGGACTTCTTCATCATGCCCATTCTCCACATATCGGTCTCAGCTTCCTTCACCTTCTTCTTAACCGATTGTTCTATTTGGTTTGGCCCCCTCCTGTTTTCTAAGTATTTACCCGTCAATTTTCTGGTTCGCTTCCTTCATTTTGTAGCAACATTCTTCATGTACAAGTAGCTGAAAACCTTCCTAGCCCAATGCTCCTCCACCGTTTCTCTCAATCGCTTCTCAAATTTTATCTTGCTACTAGCTTCCCTGCCCTCAAATGATGTCCATCCCATAACACCTTGTACCCCATAATTTGGTGTATTCCCGTGGGCTTCTCAAACAAGCCTACCTGGTCCACGTTGCTTAATTTTTAATCTTGCTTGAACTTCTTATCTCATGCACAAGACCCCATTGCCGAACATCAGGCCAAGAACCATGACCCCTTTCCATATTCCTCTCGCAGCATCATACCTATTGTAATTCCACAGTGCCCTATTTTTCATCACTGCTGCATTCCTGTTACCTTTAATCGTGATGTATATTTCGTGTTCCCTTAGGTACTCGGTCCCATCGCTTATCCATATGCCCAGATATTTGTACTTATCTGTTGTCTCTAGCGTGACCTCCTGTATGCTAAGCTCACTACCTTCATTAACATTAAAAATCATGACTGCTGATTTTTCCGTACTGAATCTGAAACCTAACCTACCTCCCTCATTCCCGCAGATGTCTATCAATCTCTGGAAGTCTTCCTTTTTGTTGGCCATTAGCACTATGTCATCTGTGTACATCAATGCTGGTGGTGCCTGTTCAATGAGTTTTCCTTGTTTGATGAAAGAGAGATGGAAGCCAAGTCCACTTCCCTCTAATTTGGCCTCTAATCCTTGTAGGTACATCATGAATTACAAGGGTGACAGAGGACACTCTTGACTAAGCCCCCGTTTTACCTCTGTGGGCGTGGATACCTGTTTTTCCCACTTTATAACTACCTTGTTACTTTTATAGATATCCTTTAAAAGATTAGTCTCAATTTGTTTAGTAGGTATTTCTATTTGCCTTTCTGAATAAAATTTTTCTGTAGGCACTCATCTTGTCTTCTTCCCACTTTCACTGCTCATCCAAAACTTAGCTTGATACGTTTGTGATCACTACGTAGACTTCTGGAGCCACATTCATCTATGTGCATTCCCCTGAGCCTATCATACATTCTATGTGACATCAGTCATAATCTATCGTTGACTGCAGCCTTCCTACCTCCAATGTTATTTGCCATTCACAGTTCTCAGTATTATTGCAAATGATCGAATCATGCCTTTCACACATATCCATGATGATTTTGGCTGTTCTTTATTCTTTATTCATTAGATACCCCGCAGCACCCGAAGGCGTTATAGCAGGGGGGTTACATCAATAAATGACGTACATCTCCGTTCACCGACACAATACAACTTTGTTCATACATAAATAACTGAAATACATTTTCGTTTACACACATAGCAGAATTTTGTTCACACATAATATATCTTCGTTAGGTTACAGCATGGGTTTACAGCAGTGAATAAAATATATCTTCGTTGCCACTATGTACTTGCATTTCAGTTAGCCTGTTCCACTGTTTAATTGTTCTAGGAAAAAATGAATTGGCATACATGTTCGTTTTAGCTGGGTATTTCCGAATTTTGCAACTATGATCAAAACGTTTTGAAGTGTAATGAGGGTTGTGTAGGTATATTTCTCTATTAATTCCAGTTTTATTGTAGTAAATGCAGTAAAGAAATTTTAATCTCTGCTTCTGGCGGCGGTCAGAAAGACACTCCCATCCTAGCTCAGCCTTCATTGCAGTGCAGCTCTCCCCCCTTCCGTACCGTCCCAAGACGAACCTGGCAGCACGATTTTGTATTTGTTCCAGAGCAGCAATGAAGGTTACCTCGGCGGGGTCCCACACGACACAACCGTATTCTAAGATAGGCCTGATACAAGTAGTGTATGCCATACGTTTTAAATTCACATGCGAACATCGCAGGTTTCTTTGAATGAAATTAAAGCCTTACCAGCTTTGGCTATGAGAGTGTCAACCTGAGGCCTCCATGAACATTCAGATGATAGTATTATACCTAGGTACTTATATGTACTCTCTTGTTTCAACTGTATATTGTTCAGATGGTACTGTGACTGAATGGTTTCATCTTTTGGTAAATGAAATATGTACACACTTTGTTATATTCAAATTCATTTTCCATTTGGTACACCAGCTATAATGAGCGATAAGTCTTTCTGAAGTTCTAATACATCATTGTGATCAAAAATTTTTCTGTACACAACACAGTCATCCGCAAACAACCGTATAGAAGATGAAATTCCTGCAGAGATATCATTAACATAAATTAAAAACAATAGCGGACCCAGGACGGAGCCCTGTGGGACCCCTGAGGTAACATCGGTGTACTCGGAGCATTTTCCATTCAGTACTACGGTTTGTGTTCTTTGGGAAAGGTAACATTCGATCCATTTAAAGACAGTCTTATCAATGTTCAGGGTGGTAAGTTTAAACAGTAAGAGTGAATGTGACACCGTGTCAAACGCTTTCCGAAAATCCAAGAACACACCGTCAACTTGTCCCACAGTATCTACGCCCGATATTACGTCATGATAAAATTCGACTAATTGTGTTGTGCAAGACAGCCCTCTGCGAAATCCATGCTGCTCGTTGATTAGTACCTTATGCTTGTTTAAATGAGTTAATATTTTTTTGTATAAAATATGTTCGAGGATTTTACACGGGATAGACGTAAGCGATGTTGGTCTATAATTACCAACGTCTTTTTTGGACCCACCTTTATGTATCGGTACCACGTGCGCGATTTTCCAGTCATGTGGTAAGGTGCCTGTCGCTAAAGATCTTTCAAAAATTGTATAAAGATACATAGAAATTGGCCCTGCACAACGCTTGAGTACACGCGGAGAAATTCTATCTGGACCACTAGATTTACTCTCATCAACGTCCTTCAATAATTTTTCAATTCCATTAACACTAAGCTCGACAGGAAGCATATGCGAAATGCTCATAATAGTTTGATGATAATTACAGCTGTGTTTAGGTAGGAATACCGAGTGGAAAAAGTTGTTTAGGCATGCAGCCTTATCCTCGTCATTCGTAATTACCGTGCCGTTATAATTTAACTCCTGTATTCCAAAGGAATCTGAGCCACACTGTTTTAGGTACTTCCAAAACATTTTAGGATTTGATTTCATGTTGTTGCTCATCTCAGTGAAGTAATCATCTTTAGCTTTTTTTATCTTTAGCTTATATTCGTGGGTAATCGACTTCAGTTTTTCAAAGTGAGCAACTGATTTGCTTTTCTTGAATGCACCTAATGCCCTCTTTCTTTTGTTGATAAGTTTTAATATATGTGCTGTTACCCATGGTTGTTTGTGTTTTTTTAGCCGTGATGAATGAACACTGGGGATATGTCTATTTGTTAACTCGGAAAGTATATTCTTAAATTTGTCCCACATATCATACACATTGCCCTCCTCAAAAAGACATTCGAAAACAGGGAACGAATTACGAAGTTTTTTAGAAATTGCATCGTA